AAAAAAAAAAAAAAAAAAAAAAAAAAAAAAAAAAAAAAAAAAAAAAAAAAAAAAAAAAAAAAAAAAAAAATCTAGGATTGCCTTTCGATCTTCAACGGTTCGTTTTCATCAATTTACCCAGGTAAATGTAGAGATGTACCAAGCAAGTTTAAGAGGACAGCCTGCTGTAAACAATAGAGCATAGAAGGAGAATTCGTGACCGACATACCAAGCATAACAATGTACGAGTTTCCAGCTATAGGATTTTAGGAAATGAAATGTGGATTAGAATGCTTGGCTTCATGAAATGGTGGGAATATTAATCTGTATAATCATGTCAATGAACATGATTTTCTTTTCTTTATTGCAGTGCAGGAGAAATGTATATTATGTAATGCATCTTCACAGACATTTGGAGCTTTCCAGCTGCTTAGTGATGAACTTTTAAGCAGTTGTATATGATAAAGGCACATGGGTTTGCTGCAACCTGATAATAGAGATGCATTGTATATCATCATTTTGTTGCTATACTTGCACAGATGATTGTACATTGCGTTGTAGGGCTGGAGAGGCTTCTTGAATCTGAAACTTACTGATCATATATGCGCCCGCCCGTTTCACTGACATTCGGCGGGTAAAGAATTTTTCTTGTGAACACAGGCTCCTGATTGATTACTCACAGTGATTCTGAAAACCTTTTAGCTTTCAAGTGATTAAAGTCTCTGAAACTAACCGTTGATGTTTGATGTTTTGATGTTTTGATTGATGATTGCGGTATTGGAAGTGATTATTGTAATGATCTGATTATTGTGTTGAGTGTAGATTGTAAGAGTGAAATACATAAAGCATGTTGGCTTAGAACTTTTGCCTTTTGATTGCCCATTGAAGCTTGCCTTTTGATTGCCCATTGAAGCTGCCTTCCGTTGTTTGAACAATATCAGCTAGCCGTAGGGATTTTATACCTCTTAATGCCCACAGTTGCTATAATGCCCACTCAAACCCCTCCTTGAACATGGTGACTAGAATGATCCTCGTTTTATAGATATAGAACTTAATAAGTAGAGAGGTGTGGGAGAGGCAGTAATGTGGGCATCGTGACAGGTGGTAGGTTGCAGCGGGCATCTGATAACAACAGTGAAATATCATAGATGAACTTGATTGTTAGATTTTGAAATCTAAAGACAAAGTTGACTATTTTCAAAGAAAACTATAGATTAAAAAACTGATTTTTTTTTGCTATAATTAATCCTCAAACCTATGGGTTCAAATTAGGAAGACCTGCCATAAAAAGTGTTAAAATTTAATAAACATATTGAGTTGCTTATAAGAGTTGATCCAATTTTGAGTTCAAACATGTCACAACAATAAAGATAAGTGTATAATTTTCAATCTTAAAAATCCACCAAAAGCCAATCATGAATATTTTGCACCATCATCAAGTTACCCAAAAACCAGTCTTTGTATATTCCACTCTCACTTCCTTTACAGAAGTAAACAATCTTCATCAATATCATCATCGTCATCAAGCTGCAGATCGTTTCAAGATTGAATGTTCCTCCACTCCTACAGAGGTCCAGTTCTGAGTGCATTGTCTAAATCAGTTATGAGATCATTCACATCTTCAATACCAACTGATATCCGAATCAGATCTTCGGTTAAACCTCGAGCTTCCCGTACCGCAGCGGGTATGCTTGCATGGGACATAAAGCAAGGCATACTTATAAGGGACTTCACGCTACCTACAAGGACAGGAAACCATAATTCTTCTTAAGCATCAGATCCTAGCACAAACTTCAAAACGTAGGGATAACAGAAGCCTTTTTAACTTATAAACACAAATAGTAATAATCAAACTCTTAACCATAAAAGAAGGATGAGTGCGGAAATTCCACACCTCCTCTAAAAGAAACACCAAATGAAGCGAAAATTCCTTCAACATTCTGCCTCCTTAGTAAGCATGTAAGCATAGTGTCACAATCGCACTCTTGTGGTAACGAGACATCAATTGTGCGACACTTCTTGTATGACTATCCCTAATCACTAGTCCACAAGATAAAGTGCGTAATTAACTCCAAAGGGAAGAGTATGATTACCAAAACTGACAGTTATGCTGAAATACTTGGTAGTTTCAACAATATGCTTGGAGAGAGCCAACGATCCAGTCAAAAAGCTCAATACTGCTCCTGCGCCCTTTGCCTAAAAACATAAAGAAAGTTACATGGTTAACTAACTCTCTTCTTCTTCTCTTTCTTTTTGATACCCGTGAATTTACAGGCTAGCTTAAACTGATTCTAAATTCCATACAATATTTATTTCTTTCTGTTGTTCGATCAACGGCTGAAGCTTCTGCGGATTTTTTATTTTACAAGCTTATAAATCTGTTGAATATTGTACCTGAGAATAATGCAAGGAACGGCCAGGATGAGTAGGAAGACCTGCATAGAACACATTCTTCACACGTGGATGTGTATGGAGAAACTCAGCAATCTTCTGTGCGTTTTCCTGTCAACGACATCAATCTACTGAGAAATGAATGGTGTCATCCACATCTATACATGTACAGATGAATAATGAAATAAACAGTGTTATTACTGTTTACATTAAATACATTATCAGAATCCAGAAGTCAAAACCACAACAAAGGACAACACAACTAATATATTTACGAAATTACAATTATAATAATATAGAATTCTTAGATAGTTGACATATATTATACATACACAGTGCGGTAGATGCTACTTAGCCAAATGGCTGAGCAATCCAACTTATGCCCACATCAAATTCCACAAAGACTTATCACTTCAACCTATAACGTTTGATATCAGAAATCTCATAGGACCTGTGATATTCCAACATGCTGAACCACATCGTAGTAGGTATACCATCTAGTCCGTTAGACTAAGTACAAGTTACGACTGAGAATGAAACATCACTGAACCGTACAAATAACGTCATTTCCTCAAATTACAGATTTCTGATATGATCACTAAAATATTGGAGAAGTATAATTTTTTAATAAAGTACTTAGATAGCAGATTTGTCAGGAACACACAAGTTGTTCAATTGTTGACAATTGGCCTCAAGGATGCAAGATATGACAAACGTAAAACGAAAAACTGCCAATCATGTTATGAAAGCAATCATGAATCTGAGACTATGAGTCTTGAGACTGACCTTTATATTTTTATAAAAAGGGACAGAAGTATAAAATACAGGTCAGAACCGGCACCTGCTGTTTTTCAACTCGTAAGGCCAGTGTCTTGATTCCTCTTAAGCAAACCCAACAGTCAAATGGAGCCAGTCCAGACCCTTCTGCATTTTGGAGGAAATACAAGTCTTTTGCCAAGCTGGAACAACGGGAACAAGGTAAAGCAAATTGAGTTATCAGAACAAATGGTTCCGGAACATTTAGTAAAAGCAAGAAGGAATGCATCCATCCGGTCAAATCCAAGGATGATATTTTTCTTTTCTGAACAAGACCGCTAATTCAAATTTATTTAGTAAAATATGCAGGAAACATTGCCTCCCTGAAAGGATAAAGAAATCAACAAAAGTCTTGGTTAGTGATTCAGAAGAGTAGAATAGCTTAAGCTGGACAGCTTCTAATTTTCACACACGCACAGAAAAACAAATAAAAAGAAAGAAAGAAAGAGAGGGAGGGAGAAAAAAGAAAAAGTAATGTTACTGCTCCCAAATACCCAAGTCCATACTTCAACCCCCTAGAAAGAAAAACTACTAAAAGTTGCTAGAAACTCCTCAATGTTCTGTAAATTCATCCTACTTGCTGGTAAAATTGATCCTGTTTCCAGCCCAGTTATCACAAACATTATTGATATGTTATTTGTTGATAATGAAATTTTATAAACAAAATGATGTACGCAGACAAGTCCTCAAATTATAGATAAAAAGAAAATAGAAAGAGCAAAAGTTTGGGAGTCATTCTAAGTGTGGCTACCAAAGAAATAACAAATAGATTTTTCCTTTAAAAAGCCATGACTGATAAGGGAACCCTAAAAAAATTTCTGATTTTTCAAATACAAGGACTTCCGAGCAATTTTAAGCTATGAAGAAGCAGTATCAACAAATAAACATAAATGTAATCTACTCACAAAAGAAGCTATTTACAGAAAGATCCACTGCATTCTTCCCATCCAACATTTCTTATGGGAAGTAGATATTCTGCTATCATACAATTTATATCATTAGAATAGGTGAAAGGTGATTTAATTTCACAATGATACTTCTTGCCTCATTATCAAACTAAAATCGATGCACCTGAATTTTTTTTTAGAAGAAACAAAAGGATATGAATTATAAAACCAGAAAAAAATAAATAAAATAAGGTAAACATCCTAAGGCCAGGAGTTCAGGAAACCCTTGCCAAAAGAAATAAGAAACACAATGAGAGCCATCCGATCAATTTTAATCAGGAGGAGCCTATAATTACAAATGAATTTTTCAAGGTTTATCCACCACCTAGAAGTAGTATGCTGTACCAAAATCCAAAAAGATTGACTGCCATGCTTCTATTCTCGATGTTCCTCTCCTTTCAAATGAGCAAAAAAACTGCACTAACCACACGGCCCCATAGAATTCTAGGTTTATCCCTAAATATTTTTCCTCTTACACATTCCGCCATCCACGAATTCACCTTATCAGAGAGAAAAACAGCCAGATCGAAAGTAATCAACAAGGATCAAACAAGCTAAACAAAAGGGCAATGGAGAAACATGTGGTCCGTTGTCTCGCTCTCCTTGAAACATACACTGTAAACAGAAGGGGTTAAGGACCAAGTGGGGAACTTTCTCGGCACCTTCTCAGCCATAATAAGCCTCATATAGGAAAGCGACCATATAAAAAGTCTCATTCTTTTGGCACCCTTGAGATGCACCATGGGGTTCTCAACAAAAACCTCTGAAAAATATACTCCACCATGGGGTTCTCAACAAAGACCTCTGGAAAATATACTCCACCGTGGGGTTCTCAACAAAAACCTCTGGAAAATATACTCCACCATGGGGTTCTCAACAACAACCTCTGAAAAATTACATAGAAACTAAAGTATATGCATTCCATAGACATAAAGTTGTTGGTTTTGACCTTTGATCAAAGTACACTGAAATGAAGGAGAAAAAGACTTGAAACTTGCAAATTAAATCTCCTAAATTTGCTCCACAACTTAGATCTTCTAAAAAATTAAATCAAGTACAAATCAAGGTTATTGACTCACAATCTCCCCCCCGTAAGCTTGACTTTGCTTGAGATTCTTCACTTCAAGTAACTCCCAATTTTTTGACTTGGCAGCTTTCAGCTCAAGCCTTAAAGATGTCAAATGTTGCTCGGCTTGTTCAATTTTCACTACCTTGTCCTTCAATCCATCTTCCTTTTCAGCCGAAGTACTGAAGAATTCTCTCCTCAAATCATCTTCCCTAAGCCTTGTTCGCTTATTTGTGCGTTCTTCTAGTGTAGCCTTCTCAAGAGCAGCTTTAACACTCTTAAAGCAATATCAAGTTTCCTCTTCCACTATTCTGCCTCTTCTTGAACAGACAGAGCTTCTTTCCAAGTAGCAGCACCAGTCCTAGACTTCAAAATGGAAATTTCTGAATTAGTTGGATCTTCCTCAGCTTTCAACTTAGACAAGACAGTTCAATATTTTCTTTTCCAATCCAACTATTCTTGTTTTGTTTCCTTTTTAAGACTGTATCTAGGCCTCTTTGGTTGAGATGGCAAGTCTGATGAAATACACCGACCATTTTTTCAAACATCTTGAGGAACGACCCAACTAACTTTACTCTGTTGCCTTCTTCTATTCATTTAACCAAGGCTGATAATATTACTTTTCAACCTCGGGATGTAATATACTTTGGTTAGTAGACATTGATCGGCATTCTTGCACTGGAACAAGATGGATCCTGTACCTTGAATTGATACAATTGATCCGTCGCCAAGCATTATATTTCCAATGAGCTTCTCATCAAGTTCCTTGACATTTGTTCGATCTCAAATCATGTGGTCACTCGCTTCATTGTCTAGGTAGGTATCACACGTTGGTCTCTACTTGGTCTTCTCTATCTGCGATGAAGTTCGTCATAATCTTCTCTTCATTGAGCATCAACAGGTTGGACATCTTTTCGACCAACATTAGTGTGAGATCTTCGTCTTGCGTGAATGTGAGGTTTACCTCCTCATCACGCTCCTTGTTGCGGCACTCTGCCACATAATGTTCATATTTTCCACAAGAGTAACACTTGATCATGCTCTTGTCCTTCCATAACTTTGTGAAGGACTTTCACGATCTCCTCTACCACCACATCCCCGATCACAACCACAACTACGCCCATGCCTCTATTTTCCTTGTTGTGGCTATTGCGTCCCTTCATACCTAAAAAAGAAGAATCAACTACATTTTTCTTTTTCATCAGTGCGAACCATTCCTCGTGTGCGAATGAGAGATGTTTCTCTTCCTCTTTGTTGTCGTAGCCACTAAGTATCTCCTCATGGACCTTAAGACAACCAACGACCTCCTCAACCGAAATGTTCCTGAGGTAGCCGACCTGTTCAATGGAGGTAATGATCTACATGAGTCTCAGAGGCAGCTCGAAGGAACTTCTTGACAACAAAGATCTTTTCCACTTTGTCACCGAACAAACAGATGTCGGCAACGATTGTCATCAATTTCATGGCAAAGTCGTCTATTGATTCACCATATTTCATGCAGATAACCTCGAACTCACTTTTCAAGGTCCGCACTTTTACTTCCTTGATTCATTCCACTCCCATATGCATTGTTTGCAGTATCTCCCACGCTGCCTTTGCTGAGTTCTTCCCTGTCAGCATGAGAAGAAAGTCAAGGAATAATTGGTAGATGGTAGCTAGAGTCATCTTGTCCTTATGTTCCCCAACTTTGCCACCATACTCGGTAGCATGTCATACGCCTTGTGCCTATAAATTAACATGCATCTTATTGACCATGCTGCGTAGTTACTCTTCGTGAGTAACGAGTACTGGAGCATTACACTCCCTCCTTTCCACTCTACATCATTGTCACATCGCCTCCGACAACTTTTTATGATGGCATTTGTTTTGACATTCTAACTTTGATACTAGATATTGGTTTTGAATCTCGATCGAAGTACACTGAAATGAATAACTGAAGGAGAAAGAGCCTAATTCAAGGGGGAGGGGAGAGTTTCTCCATACTTAAAGAACTTATAAGATGCTTAGTAGAATATTGCTACACTTTATTTTATTGAATTCTTGGGGTTCAAAACTTGATGGGGATATAGGGTATTTATAATAGAGGCTAGACAATGTGAACCATACATTTGTGATCCTCCCTCTTATTTTGTACTCTTAGAATCATCTAGATTTAAAATATCAAGATATTATCTCCTAAATTTGAATCTTTGCTCCACAAATTAAATCTCCTAAAGTTGCTCCATTAGATCTTCTAAAACACTAAATCAAGTAAAAATCAAGCTTAATGACTCACAAAAGTTACACACGATTTTTCTTTAAAATGTCTAATACTTCAAATAAATGGAAATTATAAAAAAGAAATTACATATGCATCTCACAAGTCCGAAAGCATAGTACAAGAGTACCTATCTCCCCTAACAGCAAGCACACCCGCCATTACATCACTATGTCCAGCAATAAATTTGGTAGCCGAGTGCATAACAATGTCTGCAATCAAAGACCTGGGTGAGTAATATTCAAAGCAATATTGAAATGCCTGAACATTGAAGTTGGGAAATATTCTTGATACCTGCCCCAAGTTCCAGTGGTTGGGACAACACAGGGGACAATATGCTGTTGTCTACCAGCACTAGAGCCCCATGTTTATGCGCCATTGTTGCAATTTTCTGAAATGGAAAGAAAAATGATACACACAACAGGTGGAAGGCATAATTTTCTATTCAACTTAACAATTTGCATGATTCCAATAAACAGAGGGATTTGGTGACAGAACTTCAATTGGAGGTTGAGAAGATAATCATATCAAGACAATGAAACAAATCCCCTTCAGTATCTTTAAAGAATGCTAATCTCAGCAAAAGAAGAATTAAATAATTTCTTTTAATACTCTTCCCTTTCCTCCTTTCCAGATTTCCCAGTCTTGCTACGATAGCATTCTCACAAATACAAATACAAGGCACTGATACAACATGACAATACACAGTCACATTAACATGATGTCATTTCTCAAATCTATGACACAAAAATGGCAAGGCACATTTATTAAAATATAAATCATTTTTATATGACAAGAATATTTAAATTCAATAATTTTATGCATCTATTAGTCATTTCTCAAATCTACTGATAAGTTTGATGTATTCACCATTAAAATTTATATTTTAATACTTTTGTCTTATATTACAATTTACATCTATTTATTATGTTTAAGATGTGTCCGATATGTGTCTAATAAATATTTGGTCTACTCTCTTTAAAGCTCGACTTCTGGAGCCAAAACTTGCAAAGTTTGTGCCTAATGGCCCACTAGCGCTAACTTTGATAGCTTGATATTTCCATATTGACACATTTGCTGGCACAAGTATAAAACTAATGAAGTTAACAATATGATACTACTAGACACAAACGTAATGTTTGGGGAAGCTATTAGCTTACAGGGACTCAATTGTCTGAAGTACAAAGATTCGAGGGAAAAAAACTTAATTTAACCCTTCCTTTCCACATAAATGCTTCTAGAGCTCCTTTGTTTGCCATTGAGGTGAAAATAAGCAATAAAATTTTCAAAACATGAATTCAAGGAATTTCGTAATCTGTTACGTACACAGAGCCTTAGATTAATAGCTTGGACAGGGATTGTTATAAATTTAAATAATACCCATAAGCCTACTAAATTAATTTTTATTTCGTGGTCAACTGGAATGATATTCAAAAGTCTACTGGAATGATATTCAAAAGAATAGTTTTGAATTATCTGCCAGCTGTTTACGGGTATATTTGAATGAGACAAACTAAAAGTCAAATCAATCCATTTCCAAAATATCAAAGGATGAATAAAATATTTAAGAAGTCTTCCCATTGCCTCCTCGCAGCACCAGCTGAAACTCCTCATGATGTTCAACTGGATCCAAGGGGAGGAGCTCAACTGAATCCAAAGGAAGAATATCTTTCCATGCAATAAATTATTTTGGCTTACAAATTCAAAATTATCAGTAGCTAAGTGCATTGTGAAAAGTCAAATTACTTGTGCATGAATTCCCATAATTCTTTACAAACAGACCTTACCCGAATATCTGATATTTGTAATCTTGGGTTGGTTGGACTCTCCAGCCACACAAGCTTTGTTAGAGGGCCAATAGCAGATGAGACCTCATCTAAGTCGCGTGTGTTCACGCGTCTGCAAATTAAATCCATTACAATCTTAATCCTCAAAATGGGACCACCACAAAAATGATGACAATATTTAGCTTACTTGACCACAATTCCTCGTTTGGGAATCACTTGCGAAATCAACCGGTCAGAGCCTCCATAAAGATCATCACCAGCAACAATTTCCTCGCCTGTTAGAAAGAGATTGCAAGTAAATAATTCATATACAAATTGACAAGATCACTAGCATGAAGGAACCGCAACCATGTTTTCTTCTCTCTCCTTTTGCAACACCCCCACCCCCCACCCCTCCCTCACCATGCCTCTTTTTAACCTCGAGTTGTTATTTCACCACCGTTCTCACAACGATAGCCTCCCATAAGCTCTTTCTCAAAGATTTGCCTGTAGTTTTTATTGGAATTTCACACATCTCCAAAGAACTACCTCTATTTTAATCAAAGTTGTGATACTTTAGATTACAAACACCTTAAGAGACCTCATTGTCTATCCCTAAGCCTAAGCTCAAAATTCACAAAAAGCTTCACATGGATCAACCACCAACAAAAGGAGTAGTTTCATAAACTGCCATGGATTACCCCCGTGGTTAATGAGGGTAAATGTAAACAATAAAAGGCTTAGAGGGAATGAGTTCAAGGCATGAGTGACCACGGTTGGATGAAAGTCCCACATCAGCTAATTTAGGGAATGATCATGGGTTTATAATCAAAGAATACTATCTCCACTAATATGAGGCCTTTTAGGGAAGCCCAAAGCAAAGCCATGAGAGCTTATGCTCAAAGTAGACAATATCATACCATTGTGGAGAGTTGTGTTCATCTAACATGGTATTAGAGCCATGTCCTAAACTTAGCCATGTCAATAGAATCCTCAAATGTCGAACAAAGGACTCCAAAAGAAAAAGGATGTCCTAAACTTAGCCATGTCAATAGAATCCTCAAATGTCGAACAAAGGACTCCAAAAGAAAAAGGAGTCCCTAAACTTAGCCATGTCAATAGAATCCTCAAATGTCGAACAAAGGACTCCAAAAGAAAAAGGAGTCTCGTAAGTAGACAATATCATACCATTGTGGAGAGTTGTGTTCATCTAACATGGTATTAGAGCCATGTCCTAAACTTAGCCATGTCAATAGAATCCTCAAATGTCGAACAAAGGACTCCAAAAGAAAAAGGATGTCCTAAACTTAGCCATGTCAATAGAATCCTCAAATGTCGAACAAAGGACTCCAAAAGAAAAAGGAGTCCCTAAACTTAGCCATGTCAATAGAATCCTCAAATGTCGAACAAAGGACTCCAAAAGAAAAAGGAGTCTCGTAAGTAGACAATATCATACCATTGTGGAGAGTTGTGTTCATCTAACATGGTATTAGAGCCATGTCCTAAACTTAGCCATGTCAATAGAATCCTCAAATGTCGAACAAAGGACTCCAAAAGAAAAAGGAGTCTCGTAAGTAGACAATATCATACCATTGTGGAGAGTTGTGTTCATCTAACATGGTATTAGAGCCATGTCCTAAACTTAGCCATGTCAATAGAATCCTCAAATGTCGAACAAAGGACTCCAAAAGAAAAAGGAGTCGAGGCTCCTTGAAGGCATAGTAAAAAATAACTAAGACTCCAAAAGAAAAGGAGTCGAGCCTCGATTACGAGGAGGCGTACTTTGTTTGAGGGGAGATGTTGGATGAAAGTCCCACATCGATAAATTTAGGGAATGATCATGGGTTTATAATCAAAGAATACTATCACCATTGATATGAAGCCCTTTGAGGAGGCCCAAAGCAAAGCCATGAGAGCTTATGCTCAAAGTGGACAATATCATACCATTGCGGAAAGTCGTGTTCATCTAACAACCACCAACCTAGGATTTAATATCCTAAAAGTTACCTCACCTACCAAATGTAGTATGGTCAAACAGTTGCCAGAATATGTTGATCTCAACTGATTGCTGTGAGGGATTCTAATTTGTCATATAATGTCTCTAAATCCACCCTAATCAGCATTAATTGTAGTCCTCCAAGGTGAACGTCTAGGCTTCTTCATTTGGTTGTCAAGTGGAAGATTTTTCAATTCTCTTTTATCTTGGTTTTCCCCTTAATAAAACGGCAGTTAGCTTTTGGGAGCTTCTAAGGAACAAAATGAGGGTAGATTTGGACAACAAGGAAAGGGTAGAATGGGTGACGGTATTCTACCTAAATAGTAGACACAGGTAATAAATAAGAGAATACTAAAGATTCGAGCCATAGAATTTCTCAATTCTGACACAAGGTACTTATTAGATCTAATAGAATTATTTTGTTGTGTTCAGACTCATATCAATCCAACCCATTTCATGAATAAAATGTGACCAATTAACCAACCAACAAAACTACTTGTTACAAATAACATCTTGTCGTTGCATTGAAACATAAAAACGTTGACTAATCTGACTAACATTGGACTTGGTAAAATGAAATGGTTGAATAATTGAAAAATGAGATAATTCAATAATACACATTGAATGCTTATTACCTATGCACCGGGGGTTACTTAGTAAACTGGAGTTGGACGTCACACCAAACACAACACGATAGAATCGGTGTAGATTACCTAAGACAAAGGAGCATATCCATCCTTCAATGGTTGTGACAGTTTGCAAATGAGAAAAACAGACTACGGAGAAGTGCCATAGCAGCTATTTAAGGAGTAAAGGGTAGGGGGTGGATGACAAAGAAGCGCAAGGTCCAAAAAAGGAAGAACATGGGTGGATTTCAATTAAAAAAAATTGAAAGAGACTATGGGAGGTTTTATGTTTAAAGCTACAAGGGGAAGATGCACCCACTTTTTGGAAGATGCTAGGCTGATAAAAACTCCTTTCTCTGCTATTTCCAGAATCTTGTAGTCTTTCTCAAAAAAGGGAGAAGTCACTATTGAGTGCAGGCTTTCTCTCAATGAAAGCACGGTTTCTTGCCAAAAATAAAAAAAATGATTAAGTGCAGACTAGAAGTATAACGGCCCAAGCACGCTGCTAGCAGATATTGTCCTCTTTGGGCTTTCCCTTTCGGGCTTCCGCACAAGGCTTTAAAACACGTCTGCTAGGGAAAGGTTTCCACACCCTTATAAAGGGTGTTTTGTTCTCCTCCCCAACCACTGTGGGACATCGAAATCCACCCCCTTCGGGGCCAGCGTCCTCACTGACACTCGTTCCTTTCTCCAATCGACATGGGAGCACCACTAAATCCACCCCCTTTTGGGGCCTAGAGTCCTTACTGGCACACCGTCTCGTGTCTACCCCTTTCGGAGAACAACCTCCTCGTCGGTGTCTGGCTCTGATACCATTTGTAACGGCTCAAGCACAACGCTAGCAGATATTGTCCTCTTTGGGCTTTCCTTTTCGAACTTCCCCTCAAGGCTTTAAAACACGTCTACTAGGGGAAGGTTTTCATACCCTTATTTGTTCCCCTCCCCAACCAACGTGGGACATCACAGGAAGACTCAGACCAAGGATTTGGAGCTAAAAGAAGACTCTTAAACATAGAATTAGCCCGGTGGAATTCCTTCACTGAAAGCTGAATTTAATTCAGCTAAGCCATTGCCTAGCCCCAAATCTTGGTTAAAGGATGCCCTGGTGAGTTACATAAGGAGAATTAAGGTTCCACGAAAATAATTTTTTTTTATGGTTTTTCTTTTTTTTTTTTTCTTCTTTTTTTTATAATTAAAAATCAAACTTTCATTCAAAGTATGAAAGAATACAAGGGCATCCAAAAAGCAATCCCATCATTAACTATAAAAAAAGATTTCAATTCAAAAGGAAAAGAACAAGACTGAACACGGTCAAGAGGTACAAAGAAAATTCCCCCATCACGATTGAATTCGAACCAATAACAATGATTTCCTTTTCATCGAAAACCCAACTTTTCATTGAGATAGAAACGAAAGAGAACCAAAATATAATCATACATATTATATATTTGAGTTTGAACCATATATAATAATCATACGAACTCAAAAGTGGAAAACGACCACACAAGTGGAATACCAAAACCCACCAGTTCCAACAAGTTGAGCAACTGAAGCTAAAGCAGCCATCCCACTGGTGAAGCAAAATGCTCGATCCGCTTTTTCAAGCTTTGCTAAGAGGCTAAATGAACAACAGAACAAGGGTTTTAATTATTTTGGGTGGAGAGGGGATGCTGTATAAGTGCCGGCACAGCACTCTTTTTCCTTTTTTAAGAAGAACATAGGACATAATACACCTTTCCAAAGCATCCCGTGTAGGATTCCCACTTCTGGTGTAATCATATGGGCCATTTTCTGTTGCCGAAGGCTGCATAGCAAGTGAAAAAATGGAAACTAAATAAGAAGCCACAGAATTCACAATGTCAATAAAGATACAAGAAACAAGATAGAGAACGCAAAAGAAAAGATCAAAGTAGAAAACAAAAAAATTACAATGCCAGATGTTCGGTAATCCTAGTAGCAAAAAATGTACTTCTAATCTTGGAATTGCTGTTAGTTACACATTTCCAACAATTAGTTATCTCAGTTCCAATCTCATGAAAAGCTCACCTACAGGATGCAATAAACCGATAAACACTAAGGATACATTCATTCAGCCTCCGTCCAAGTAGTCATTTTATAATGCTTGTATTCAACCAAGTGGTCATGACATACCTGACTAGATGCAAGTATCGCAAGATAAGACTAGTTTAAAATCTAAAATTGAACTAGTAACTCAGACAGGTTTGAGTTGTGACCATTTGAACTACTACTACTTTAACTGATTAATTAGGCTTTGAATTTTTTTTTTTTTTTTTTTTTTTTTTTTTTTTTTTTTTTTT